CCCCTTCTGGCACTGTATGATGTCAGAAAGAGAGAATAACCTCAATATAATCAATTCAGGTACAGAGGTTTAGCTGTGAGCCACCTGCTATCCGTTTGATTGAAATTTGTAGCCAATCAGTAGACATCTGGCTTAAAAGGTGAAGGAACAGCGCTGAAGCTTGTTTAGCAGATGAATTGACAGGATGCAACTAAGTCCAATATGAGATAAATAAGGATTCCTTATTCTGGGAGTCATGCATAGCTTCCCTAATAAAGTCCAGGCAGAAATTCGCACAATCAAATCCACAATGTTCCCATGAACCTAGCCAAATCCTTTGCTAGCATAACCACATAAATATTAATCATTATGTAATGTCCAGGATTTAATATTCTACCGAAAACGACAAATTGTTGATGGCTTTAAGATTTGTTAACAATGAGCATTTTGCAGGACAGCTTGCAAAATAACAATGTGCTCTTTATACTGATGAAACAGTAGCACGTTTCCCACAAAATACATTTGTTAATGAGCATTATATGCACACCAGTTTAGAAATACAAAGGCATCACTTTGACGTGATCTAGATAAACATTTGATTTTTCTCTACTTACAGGCAGAATGGAGACTTTGGGGAAATTATGCAGAGTTTCCCATTCCCGCTTCAGATACTCAAGGGAGCCGACAAACACAATATGCTTCAGCTCATGGTAGTGAAAGTTGCTTGCTCTCAGAGGCATCACAAAGTTTCGGAGACCGATCAGCGCCGATTTCACGTCTCCAAATATGCACACGACCACATGACCGCTCAGAACAGTCATGGCTGCCTCACTCCGTGTCTGAGAGGAAAAGAAAGGGATAAGGGATCAATATGTTCCTGGCTGGAATTTGCATAAATGGGCATTTCCAACAAATGTTAGCACTTTCTCCTTTTGCAGTGAGCCTGCCCCCCCTGTAAAATATATCATGCAGTTCTGCACTGCAATGAAAGTAATTTGAAAAATGGCATATGTATTAGTACAAGAAATTTTCCATAGTGCAGGGCTCTCTTGTAGCAAATGACATGTCAAACACCTCATTACAGAGTGTTTAAGTGCCCTGTCAACCTCTGATAGTGCTTTGTGACATGACACATCTGTCACCAGGGAGAAGAGTGTCGGGACAAATGACGTGTACCGAGTGAAGGAGCAGGACCCACCAAGATGACCTTCTCAATGTCTTTGGACGGGCACCAGTGAAACATCCCCGTGGAGTCATATTTCTTTACGTTCTCGTCCATGCTCTCAATCTGCTCGTTTCCCAGGATGAGGAGTGGGTCATGTCTAATCAAACAAAAAGATGGGAGGGAGAAAGAAAAAAAAAAAAACACATTTCATTTTCATACATTTTATAAATTAACCATAAGAATATTTGGCAATCTGCAAATAAGTTGCTTTTACTAAAAAAAGAAAAAGAAAAAAAAAAAGGTTGCTTTCTTCCTAGTTTTTCCGCTTCCTCTTTTCGTTTTCCTGTCAGAGGCCATCTGCAGAAATGCCAACAAAACTGCCATGTCATCAAGCAGAGTGACATCAGCAGCGGCAGCCAGGCGGAAGAAGATGGCAGCAACACACTGCGTTGACTGGCATGAGCACGGAGATGCAATTACGCCCCCTTACTGCATACAGCTTTTGACGTAGTGCGCTGCGTGGTAAAAGCTTTAACAGACCAGACTTTAAATATTTCAGCAATTTGCCCAACCGTATTTGCTTTCCAAAGTGAAGGGTATTAATGTTTAAACAGACCATCAGAACTATATAAACTAATTTCACTGGTGAACATTAACGCTGACCACTAAAAGTTGTCTCCCAACATGAGTACCTGCATTTCTATCACGCTTGTTCTGGTCAGGGGGATATGATCTTATGAAGTCATACAGTTAATTTAAATAAAAGGTTTTGATGCATGTAATAGAATAATCAAACACAGGATCTATGGTATGAAAAAGATTAACAGAAATTTGTAAGTTACCCAAATTTAACATCTCATCAAGCTGATCCCAACGAAAAGTTTTTTATCTGCAGAAGAGAACTCACATAAAGATTGTCTGAGCCAACCGATATATGTGACCAGCCACATTAGTAGTACTGCTCAACACAAATCCCTTTGCCCTAAATCAACTTTGTCAGATTCAGATCAAAGTTAAAGATGCTATCTTCTGAAAATCCAGACAACAGTCTTCGGTCTCTGTCCAAAACCTTTTAAATTGTTCAAGTCCTCCCCTCGTAACAAGAGCGTCTCTTTAATCCATCCAAGTACCTCAAAAGAATGGGCACCTTAAGTAACATGTTAAGTATGTATGAAAGTGTCAGCTGAAACTACCATCCCTCAGGCTCCAAGAGACTGAAGCCGAAAAAAACCCGCCTTTGGGCTCATATACCCCCAGGCAAGACCTGGATGTCCTTTCAAGAATATAAGTAGCAGTAGAGGGAAATGTCTTTTCTACCTCTCTGTCGATGCGGCTTCACTTTGAAAAGCGCGTGTACGATAAAATTTCGATGTCAAAGCGTGCACATTGTTTTTTTGTTTTTTTTTAAAGTACAATGTTAACAGAAACATGAAATAAAAAAATAATAAAATACACTCCAATATATTGAAAGTGGGGGTCCTAAAAACAATGAGACTCACTCTCATTTGCTGCTTCTAGACTGTCGGTTGCATGAAATCAGACATCGCCGCTTTTCTTTTTTCAGTGTAATCAAAAGAAGCGGAGGCGGCAGCTTTGATAAACTGTAGGTTTACAGGTTTACAGCCAGGACAATCATAAATGATCATAAAAAACTGGAATTACGGTGCTTAAAATCCACATGAGAGTGCAATTCAAATTCTAATAAGAGTGAAAGCATTTAGTGGTTTTACACCTTGGCTAAATATTCCATCAAAAGTCAAATGTTTCACCACTCACTCAGTGGAGCCGCTGTCACTTCAGTTTGTCCTTGTGAAGATGACTGGTGAGGCAGAGCTCTGCCAGGATAGCTATCGCTCACTGTCAGCCATGACGGCCTGTCACTACCCTGCACTGCCAATTGCCTCAGCAGTTCTGTAACAGACATGACGTGTATGTCACGGCACTCCGATGTGACCAAACGTGTTATGACATCCCGCAGTTAGATGTGTCTTATGACCCATCAAGGAGCCCGTGGAAATGGTGTTAATTTCAGTGAGGTCGTCATTGCTAAGTTCCAGACAGGTCATGTTAGTTTGCTGGAACTAGAAGCGAACTGTCTCGTGGAAACGTGATCGCTTTTTTTTCCCTCTTGCGTGGTTTGTTTCGTTAAACAGCGAAGAAGTGTCCGTGAGTGTCACTTCTGTGTACTTCTAAAGATTCAAACTGATCAGCAGCATAATTCACTGCTTTATGATGACACGTTTGACAAGACTTCACACATCATTACCCCGAAACATAAGGCCAGGTGTTTTCTGGAGGAGCGTAATGACAGCTGAGAGAGCCATAAAGAAGAAGGCAGACACGCACATTATGTCGATCTTCTAATTCGGCAGCACTGCACTAGTTTTCTCTAACACAAGCACTAAGAGCAGGCAAAGTCTTTGAAAACCCGGCACATCATGAAAACTGACAAAGGCCTGCTCTTCAAAACCCACAGCCAATCTGTTGATCATTACTTATTTACAAAGGCCTTGAGGCCGCGGGTCCTGTAAAAACACATTTGATATAGTATACACCCAGATGTTTTTTTCTCTGCTTGTTGCAATGAAGTATCCCTTAGGCTACCACGGCGAATCCCTCTCTAGCGTGTAGGCAGCAGACGCTACACGAAATATCACATCCACCTGTACTGCACAGTATTAGCATGGCAAGTAGATGGATTGGTTTGGTGTGTTGATTTTTCGCTGATAGCATTGGAAAAGCCTGGTTTTGCTACCCAAGAGCCTGGAAATCACCTGGAGCGATTCAACTTTCAAACCACTTTGAACCAAATAAAAAAAAAAGGGCAAACGCCCACCTGGAAAAAACAGAGACCAAACATCAAAGGAAATGGTAATGTATGCATACCGACACTTTTAGTTATAATACAAAGCAATTTTTTTTTTCCAGAAATAGTGAATGTTGCTGATCTGTACTGTATCTGATGGTATTAAACAATACAGACACATGTGGGTTTGAATTCCAAATGTCAAGCAGATCGCAGCCATATTAGCAGTGAGAACATAAAGTCATCTGTCAGGTTTAATTAAATTTCATTTGTGCTGTTGCACTTTGTATACATCAGGCTGCAGGTCTTCCCTGTTGCCTGGCTTCCTTATAACATTGCACTTAATGACAGTGACTACTATTATTATCGTCCCTCTAATGGGTTCTTGTTGAATAACAGTGTTATCGCCAGTCAAGATCAATACGCTACGATTTAATTTCACGAGACAAGATAAAAGCAAGGTAGCATTTGAATTCGCCTTTCATTGTGATGATACATATCATCTGTGGCCTTACGTGCTGAAAAGACCTCAGAGGGATCCGACAATAGATGAATAGCCTTGGGCTATCTATCCTTTAGAGCCCCTCTGACTGCCTGGTGCTGTCATTAGTGCCAGGCCTGTTTAAGAACTGTAGTCTGTGGGTGTCACATGAAACCTTGTGGCATAGAGCTCATCTCAGAGGCTGACATATTTTCCATGAAAAAAGGAGCATAGAAAAATGTTCTTTCAGATGCTCTTTGTAATACACTGCTTAATCCAACAAGTACTAGTTTTCTTCCTAAAGCACAGGTATCTGTACTTTCTTCATCAAAGCTTTGTTAAAGCTACATTAATGACTATATTTATGTCCCTAAGAGGTTAAATTGATATGTGTAATGTGAAAGAGATTGTTTGATTATGCTTGTAGTTATAAACCAACAAAGGATTATCACCTGACTGGAAATCCCTGTAGAGTATTTTTATACCGTCCGGCAAGTTGTTTTGGTTTCATTACTCTTATGATGAGCAGGAAGCTAGTCTGTATGTTACCCTCCCAACACTAAGCAACAAATATAATATATAGCTGTTCGATATAACGATATATATCGGATTACGATATAAAAACGTCTATCGTTTCATTTTACGCTATCGTTTGTTTCGTGGTGTCGCAAAATAAACTGTTTACAGCAATATTTTTTCATCGTTTTGATGGTCACTGTAGTGGCTATATTAATTTCTTAAAGTTCTCTCTTTCTCTTATATTTAATATAACCACACTATTGTGGTTAGCAACAACGACGGTAACACCATCGCGTGTCCGCTTGTTTATGTTCCACATAAACCTTTCACAATAAAGCTCAAGATCCTGTTGAGACTTTTCAAAATAAACTGAATCACGCGAAAGAGCAGATTATTTACGGATGAGAATTAAAAAAGAGCCGCCAGGTGCTAAAAAATAAACCTTAGACTCAAACGTTAGAACAGGCTTTTCCCCGCAGCACGCCGTGTAATAAATACTCACAAAGAAAACGGCGGCCTTTACAACTTATGTCTAAAAATGTATAGTTTCATGCATCTGTTAAAACACTCGACTCCAACAACATGACGTGCAGCTGGAAACACTTCCCGCAAGACGAGCTGCCGAGATTCACAGAATTTACAGAAAATGTTACATTTTTGTGATTTATATCATTATCGGACGATAGAATTCTTATATCGGGATATGAGATTTTGGTCATATCGCACAGCCCTATAGCAAATATCAACAAAGTTAGCAGCTAGCTGCTGAACATCTTGGAATAGTTTGCTGGAAAATAGCCTTAAGATTTCCCTCGCCCAGAGACCCATGTACAGCTAACAGGAGAGTAACTCTTTGAGTCATCAAGTGAATGCAAACGGTTTCTCTGTATTTACTAGTTGTGTATACAGGCAATCATTTTCCTACTCCTTAATCATAACCAGGTCATTCTGATTCCCATTGTGTCAGAGCTGCTGGTGTCTCACAAATGCACACAACATGGCCTTTGGCATTGACGCAATGATGCAATGGATTCAGTTCAGCGGAGAGCTCTGGCACCCATTGTTCTAGGTCTAAAACTACCTAGAACTAATCAGAAAACCATAGAACACATGAAAGAAAGGTTGAAAGAAATCTGGACAATATGTGGGAGGACACGGGTCATAGAGAGAGGTTTGAAAGTGAAGAGCAGAATCTTGTAATGTATTGGTAAAGAACTATGAACCACTGGAGCTGGATGAGGAGGGGTGTTATATAATTGGTGGACTTGATGCAGGTGATGATGTTTCCTGTCAAATTCGGTACCATTTGGAGCAGATTAAGATGTTCATTGAGGAAACCAGAGAGAACGGCATTACAGGTGACCGGGGCATAAACAAGAACTTGTGTGTTGTGTTGAAAAAGGAAAGGGTATAGGCCGTCTTGTTGTCCTAATTGTTATGTGGGCTAAATGTGAGACATTATTGATGTAAATAATAGAGTATTATCCCTAATGACATAAAGACTTTTAACACTGGGGGAGGCATTGACTGAAGAACCATCTGTGAAGGAAGCAAAAGGGTGTATTTTGGACAATAGTTCTTTAAACCAATCAGGATAACATGACTTGAATTGCTCTTTTAATTAAAGGTCATTATTTGTCATCTAGCAAGCAATAGCATAGAGACAACGCTAAAGAACCCCTTTGGTGTCAAACCTGAAGGCATTAATTTTCAACATGTAGGGTTAATGTTATGATGAATGTAGCAGATGGCCGCCCCTCCCTGAGCCTGGTTCTGCCGGAGGTTTCTTCTTGTTAAAAGGGAGTTTTTCCTTCCCACTGTCGCCAAAGTGCTTGCTCATAGGGGGTCATATGATTGTTGGGCTTTTCTCTGTATCTACTGTACAATATAAAGCGCCTTGAGGCGACGTTTGTTGTGATTTGGCGCTATATAAATAAAATTGAATTGAATTGATAAAGCATAGTTTAAACCAAGCCTAAACCTAACCAAGTAGTTTTTGTGTTTAAACTAAACCGAGCGGTGATTACAGTTTGTTGTGTTTTGTTGGCGTTTAACATTTGGCTATTAAAGAAGCTATCTGCATTTTTATGGTGAGAGAATTTATATGTGTAAAAACCCAAAGACAGATAGCTCCTTGTGGTACCTACCTCATAATCTTAGGTGAGGAGTTTGGAGAATTCCTCATGCCTCCATTACGTTGCTTTTTTTTGGGTGATAGTGCTGATTGTTGGTCCTCTTGAACTGCAACAAAATGCCAAAGAAACAGCATGATGGCGGGAAATGATCAGAAGTCGAGCAAAGATCCACACAGCAGGGACAACAAAAGAACAGCACAGCACAATTTGAGGTCAGTGAATTCAAAGAGATAATATACATACAGGGACAGAGTGGAAAGAGGTCGGGTGAACAAGATGGAGTGGGACAGGACAATTTAACCAGTGGGTAGCGGGAAACAGTCCAATGTTAGCATAATGCAGACAGGATACATTAGCACATCATTGGCATGGTTGTGTATGGAGATGCAAACATGCAGTAGTGCCATTATCAACCATCATGCCATTTGCTGAAGTTTAATCTGGGAGGCTTTATTTACCATACGCACTAATCCATTGAACTGCTGTAATCCACCTGTCAACAGTTTTATCATTCAGATAATGTAGCACCACAAATAAGTGAAGGGCTGTTAAGAGGGCTGTGATTTCGTAATCATAGATTACTGTACTACAGATAGACCTAATCACTCATGTTCTCATTTAATTAAGGTAATAACCTATAAATATTAAGCATCTAAGACTACAAGCAAAGGTGCTTTGAGTTAGTATTGAATCCTGGATTTCTGGTCTTTGTTCGTCTTGAGAGTGGTGCCCTTGGCTTATACAATTAGGTTGGTCCTTGTGCCAGAGTGATTTATGTACAGCTGAGATGCCCTTTGGACATTGTCTTTATCACTTCAGCAAACTGCACTGAGCTCTTTGTAGGGAACGAGTTATAACTTTTACCCCCGAGTAAAGTAATCAGGCAAATATTTTTACAAGCTAATATCACAGCTGCAGAAAACAACTCTACTCTGTGGCAGTTGCTGGTAAAATAAATACAAGCGGCAAGAAAAGTGTTTCACTAATAGCACTTTAACAGCCATCGTTCATTGGGAATAGATTGTTACAGGTCATGGAAAATACACTCGGGTACCTTATAACTGATGGTTCAAGCTGTGAACTCTTTCTTTTTTTTTAGTCTTTTCTGTCTTTCTTTCTTTTTTATACAAAGAAACTGCAATTGCTTTCATTAAAATTAATAAAGTCCCAAAGATCTTGCTCCTCCGCCGACGAACACATGATTTCAAGCACCG